ACGGTAAACCAATGATCTACTTTCTGATTCTTATTTTCTTGTTTCGTGTCAAGCTCGATTGTGACTGTTTCAATAACAAGCCAAGAACAATAGTGGAGAAAGTGAAAATTCGAACGCAAAAGTCAACCATGTTAGATGAGGGCACCCACCCCCACCACCTCCATGCATGTTTCGCCATTTGCAGCTGAGATAACAGATTTTCAGTTTAAGGTAAAACATTTTCAAAATACCGCAACGTAAGTTTCACAATTACCTCCTCCACCCCCTCCCCCTTGTACAGTTGGGTATTCGTTTGAATGCATGTGCGAGGATTAAGAAGGTATCTATTTGCTTGATTGCCTGTAAGAGCCAAAGTTACCTGACATATAAAAATAAGTATCATTTGTCGTCCTTTAGACTTGGCATCAGAACGTGCGTAGTGATGATTCCCCTTCTGGGTATCACTTGGTCGTTTGGTATTCTATCGCCACTACACAAGACTTTTACCCACATTTTCACCATTCTCAACTCCATGCAGGTTTGTTGTGCATTTCCTCGATAAAATTCGTGTGGCTTTGCAACTAAAAAATGAGAGACTTAAAGAGAAACAAAATCAATAAATCCATTGATCAATCCTTCTATCAAGATATCAGACCGTCAAATATTTAGTCAGTCTATGGTTCTCTCCAACCATCAATCGATCATTCAGTCACGTAGTCAATTTGATAGCCATTCAGGCGTTCAGCTAATGAGTCATTTCTTCGGTTTCTCAACCCATTAAAGACAATTTCTCTACTTTACCATATCTTTTTGTTCCTTCACAAGCCTGGCTCATATTTTTCATGACAGTCTGATATGTTAAGATCATTTGAGTTAATTAGAGCTCCGTTCACCAAAGATATCTATACGTATCTATATTCATACATGACTTTTTATCCATAATTACACCTTTATTAAAGGATGTGCCGATTTTCACCATGCACTTTGTGCGAAATAGTCAGGTAAGAGCAACAATTTAAAATGATAATAATAATAATGATAAAAACAATAATGATGATGATGATGATGATGATCCTCATCATCATCATCATCGTCATAACAAAAACTATATTAATAAATAGTGCAAATCATGAATTTTACAAAATTGGATAACGATTTTAAAAAGAGAAACTGACTCATGTCACATTATGTTTAGTTTTTTTTAATTTACAGATTATGGAGCGCCTAAAAGGAAAAATGATCTGGAAGTAAATTGGTCAGATCAGAGCTCGTTTGAGAGGTAGAATGAACGTTGTTTCACCATCTTCGAACAAAAAAAAAAAACTCAGCCAAAAATAATGCAAAGATCCGTGTGACGTTGATGCAGTGTGGGTAATTAAATTGCACTCTTTAAGAAAATACGAGTTGAATTAGGAATACATATACGTAAATGGATTCGATAGGCAGCGGGTGATAGCTGGTTGCTATGTCGCACTATTTAAGCGACGATAATTCCTCAGTCGCAATTGATCCGTTTAAATTCGTCTTTCTGCTCGGTTAGCGGACTGTTCGTTAATTCAGAAATTAGGTTGTTCGTCGAGCGATGGAGGCCGTTGACATTTTTTAAGAGTAACCCAACGAATCAGCCCTCCGCAGTCTTACCCGAATTGAGTTAGGGGATTCAGTCCGAGTCAATAGAGCAGTTGATAGCTCGATAAACCGTAGCAAAGTTCATCAATCATTTAAGTCGTTTAAATATGAAAGATAGACATTTTCTGTACGCCGCAGCCAGACGATTAATTTCGTATCTCCGTAATTTCGTATTTACAGAACGACTTTAAAAAGCTCTCTAAATAAAGATTATAGTGACATCTAATAAAAGGCTAGGATAGGATTAGACAAGTGTGAATCATACGCGACTCGATTAAAATGTTACATAGACAGAATGAAAACTGACGACTATCTTTGATAAACGTTTACCAAAAGCCATTTATGATACATTAAAATTATTCCTAGCCAATTGTTATGGCATGCCTTTAAAATATACTGGGAAACCGTACAAGGGGGTATCAAA